AATGTGTTAATTGGAAGGTTTTCCTTGCCTTTTATTGCGTCAAACGAGCGTTTGGCCCCCTCTAACTCCATTTTATTGCTGCTTCCAACCTCGTTAGCCTATAACCAATTTTGGTGTTTGCGTGGTTAAAACAGTCATAATATAAAGAACTGCAAAAGCCATATTTAGATAAAAACAATACCTGAAGTAGTTCGAAATGTACCAGTTTAGTTAAATTACAATTCAACATGGTATAACATCCATATTTCGCACTGTGTCCCATGCTATCAAATCTACCGTCTCCAGCCCAAACACTGTCTTTTATCTCTTTTAACTGGCTTATTAAAATACCTCGAGATTTTTCCCAATACTGTAGTATCAATGGAAAGATAAATTTTCTTTGATGATAGAAAAAGGTTCTCGCGCAGTATTTTAAAGTCCTAATGCCTGAAGAGTAGAAGAACTTTGCTAACAGAGGATCCGGACATGAGAATTGCGAAGCTCAGCAGAATATTGCCAGCAGGATGTTTTCCTAACACTAACGGTTGGCTTCTCCACGTGTAAGATCCTTTACATGCTTTACATCTTTGTTCCACTATTGCCATTGTTCCACGAACTTTTATGTCAACACTTGGCGATTCGGTCTTGCAGTGAAAGCAGAACAATGAAAACAGTGAAACCAACATACTGTAAAAAACTATAAACTTTGGCTCTGTATCCGCTAATCTAAAAAACAACAGTAGTAATATGTCGAAATAATATTTCCGTATTTTTCAAAGTATTTTATGAATTATTCACTGATGCTGCGTGTATATAAAAATCTACCTTGCATCTTGTGATGTGCCCTCTCGTACTTCCTCTCCATCGTCTTCGAGCTCATCATCAGCTGACGAGTCTGTTTCTTCATCCTCCATATTGGCATTCCAATCTGGATCTCTAAAATTATCGATCAATTCACCTTCAGAGCTGTTTGCCAGTGATCCATCTTCATCATCCAAAGCCTCATCCAAGATGCCTATATCTTCACCAGTTTTGTTTTCGTCGGAATCGTAGTTACTTCTACTCTCGTCTTCAGACGAACTGGAGGACATCTCTTGTCGCAAAGATTCAACGATCTTAGAAAAATAACAAAATATTTATAGTAGCTCATTCTAAAGAACTCACTTCAACAAGCCCTAAAATAATCATGTGAGACTGTAGTATCACTTTCACAGTAATCATGTAACTTAGAACCAACCTTTTTGAGGTTTTTACTCTCCTTCCTTAATGCTGTTATTTGCCGCTTTCTCTTTAAAAGGCGATGTTTTTGCACAGAACGTACTCTCTGAAGGTTCTCTAGTTTTTCTTTTTCCAGATCACATTTGGTGCACCGAAGCAATTCCTGATCTTCGGATATAAAACTCTCTTCATTTGGATTGTCAGAAAGAATCGGACTTTCGCATGCTGTCTCTTGTGTAGGCATTTCATCTAATTCAATTTTATCTGCTTCATCTTCATCTGAAGTTGTGTGCTCTTCCTCGTCTTGGTTGGAATCACCGATAGCGGTGATAACTGGTGCCGTATTATCTGTTGATAAAAAAGAGATTGATATAACAAATAATATTCAACACGCAAAAAAAATATTCAAATATTTTTTGTCAAGTTGTTTGAATAAAAGACTCACCCTTCTTTTAGCACGTGAAGTAGTTGGCATTTCATCCAGGATGACAGTATCTTTAGTTGGAACAGACCCTGGTGTTAGATATCTAGCTTTTGGTTTGAGTTCGTCAGGCACCCCAACATGATACCTTGTTGCGAAGCAAGATTTCTCGAAATGCGCGGAACATATAACTGACGATTTGCTTGGAACAAAATTTGGCCGATGTCTTCGCACGAATTTTATCCAGTTTTTCCGCTGTTCCTCGTTCTCGGGAAACTTGTGCATTGATATCCCTTCAACGTGATAGGTATTTGTGCAACTGCGCAATCCAGGACCTCCACAAACACAGTATTTACCCCTTTTCGCCCTTTTTATGCTTGAAGCCATTGCTCGATCGCGTTCGATGGAAAATGAATAATGATTGTTGCTGCGCAGTTTTTATAGAGGGCTTTTGCGTGAATGCGCAGATGTGATGGCAGTGGAAATGCGACAGTGGAAATCCGCCCTCAGGATTTGCGCACACCACCTTGGTTTTTGTGGTTATATATCTACTCAGTAACAACTAATATTCTAGTATAAGTGCGTATACCCATACTGACGCAGCAACCGCAATTAGTGACTAAGGAATAAATTGCGCGTAAACAGGATACCGATACAGCGCATCTAATCACCACAAATAGACGAAAACAGCTAGAACATGTCAAAATACTGTAACGTCAGGCAAACGGGGATGTCTATAAATCTACCTAGGTTTACAGAATAACATATTATACAAATATAAAAACTGTCCCTGTAGATACCTACGAAAATGTCTACAGTTCAAATGTTCAAAGCTACATTCGGCCGCTTATATAGGTGATTAAAAAGTAAAAATTGATGTATTTTGATATGATGGTCTTCACTTGACCAATACGCTGCATCTACAAGACGCATATTTCTTTGGGAGCTCATCAAAGTGCAAAAATATTGCGATTTTACGTGGTAGACGCTCCAATGTTTATAGTATTTCTAAATAGGAAGAGCGCACTGTGTCACACTGCATACGTCATCACGACCTTTTGGCCGCGCGAGGAATTTCAACAGTTTTTATTTTCATAGCCCAACTTTGAACCTAAATTTTTCTTACTTCTAGTCCGAATTTGTCGACAATTTTGGTATCTTTATGATCGGGAAAGAACAAATTTTCAGAAAATATAAAAAACCCAAAAGCGAAATTTTCATTGCATATACACTTTAAACACTCTGCCAGTTGCTGCGGAGCGAGCGAGCCTGAAGCGAGCGAGCGTAGCAGCAGACCTAATTTGTGTGTGTAGGGGATTTTATCTCAAGCCAGTGTTTACCGCAGTGCATTGTGGTCGTGCGATATCAGAAATGCGCAGTAGGCTTTTTGTCGGTTGTGTTTTCACAACTTTTGAGTAATAGCTTGCACACAATTTTGGCAAACTAAGAAAACCTTCCAAGTGTTATAATAAACTTTTTTACGGAGAAACCTTTTCATATCATATGCTTCATTATTTGTATTTTTAATTCGACACCAAAAAACTTGTATATCGGAATCATGGATGATGATCAACCGTCTACGTTTTATTTTCCATGTGGAAGCACAAGTTTTCAAAATGATTTGCCTGATCTTGGACACTTGGACGTGAGAGGTCAAAGTTTTTCTTAGGTGCTTCAGTTTGATTTAGGTGATATTCGTTTTATGATCCGTCGCTGATGTGGAAAGCTTGAAGGGTAAGTTTATATTCCTTTGTTGATTCATAGTGAGCATTGTGTAGTGAGCATGGTATTTTAGTGTTGTCTTGTAATTTTTTTTATAGATTTCTATACAAACACGCCTTGGCAACTTCTGTCACTGTGTCCTCGACTGTGTCTTGAAGCGACTTAAATCGTAGTGTAAAACTACTTGAAAGGTATGGATTATGTTTGTTAAATGATTATTAAATATTAGTTACGCTTTGGGTTTCTGCATCATGTCATGCCTCGAGTTTTGATAGTGTCTTGTTTAATACGCCTCGTGCTTAAATAATTGTTTGTGAGTTCTGTTTGTGTGTTTCGCCATTTTGTTCCATGGACAATTATTAAATGTTTATTTAATCATATATTTGATTTCGGTTATTTATTTGTGATGTTTTATACCATTGATATCAGTTACGCCTTGGGTTTCTGCGTTGTGTCATGCCTTGTTTTGATAGTGTCTTGTTACGCCTCACGCTTAAATTAAAGAATTGTTTGTGAGTTCTGTTTGTACGTTTCGGCGTTTTGTTCCATGGACGATTATTAAATGTTTATTCAATGATATATTTGATTTTCGATTATTTATTTGTGATGTTTTATACCATTGATATCAGTTACACCTTGGGTTTCTGCGTCGTGTCATGCCTCGAGTTTTAACAGTGTCTTGTTACACCTCGTGCTTAAATAATTGTTTGTTAGTTCTGTTTGTGGGTTTCAGTGTTTTGTTCAATGGACAATTATTAAATGTTTATTCAATTACTTATTTGATTTTTCGTTATTTATTTATCATGTTTTATACCATTGTCACTCATTTCTTTTTTGTATTTTTATATTTTCAGATCTGCAAACCACATGGTTGGTCTTCAGCCTCTCCGCCGGATATTTATAGTGTATTTTAATACATCAAATAATTTATTTGAGGTATGGATTTATATATTAATATTTGCATTATTGTATTTTGAGCTTTTATAATATTAATATTTGCATTATTGTATTTGTTACGCCTTGTGCTTTTATAATTGTTTGTGAGTTCTGTTTGTGGGTTTCAGCATCGTGTCACACCTTGTGTTCCATCATTTGAATTGGCATTTGACATGCCTGATTTTAAAAAAAGTTTTATGTTGTTTTTATAGTGTTCAATTGCGTCAATTATTTTCTGTAAATCGAGGTGAGTTGTGATGCTCTGTATGACTATATAATATATATATATATAATTATATATATATATATATATATATATAAAAATAAGTAATAATTATGGCACGTTCTTATGCTTTTGTTCCCATTCATGAAAATGCGCAAAGGTTCATGTGTTCTTTGGTTGATTTACCACTGATTTTGCCAATAAGGCCAGCAATTGCAAAGCTCCTAACTGAACCAGCAATAGTACATAATCAATTACTTGGTGATGGAAATGGTCTATTCCAAGCACTTTCTTACCTCATTACAGGCCGACAGGTTTACCATAGTGTAGTAAGACATAAGATATTAAATCACATGAGGTCAATCCACCGTAATAAAAAAGATGGCGCAGCGCGTTGCATTTTGGTAAAATCGACAAATTGAATTTATAATTAGCTAGCTTGCAATTATTTGTAAATAAACAATATGGCATAATGCTTTCTAATAAATTTCTGCGCCGAAAATGCCATACAAGTGCGCTGTGGCGCAATGTAAACATAAAAGCTGGATAAACAAGACATTAAAGTTCTACAGCTTTCCAAAAAATGATACGCTACGGCAGAAATGGATAAAAAATATCGCATTAACTGGGCAAGGTTATGAGTGGTCAAAGGGCGACAGAGTCTGCAGTGCTCACTTTGTTGGTGGCAGGAAGCTCGGGAACAACAATGTACCATCCATTTTTCCTCGGTGGGACAAAGAACTGGGAAGCCTTGTCTGGCCAGTTGACATATCCGCATTATTATATGAAAATAAACCACCACCGGTGTGTCCAAAGCGTCTAAATACGGCCGCTTATGAAATTGACCTAAGTCAAGAAATTTCGTCATCGGCTGCGACCATGTCCGCGGAAAGTGACTCAGTCAATGCTGCTATCGAAACCGCAAATGTGGAGCGTTTAGAGAAAGGGAGTGCCGACGTGGAAAAGGAAGAATTAAAAAGCAGCGTCGAGAGATTTGGGGCAAAACGATTCATGTACTCCGATTCGGACATCAGATTTTTTACTGGATTACCAGATTATAATACTTTCCTTGCCATCTACAATTTTGTGAAACCAAAACCAGGGTTCGTCTTGAATTATTATAATGGTTATAGCAATAAAGCAAAAGATCCTTCGTATGTGAATGCCAGAGGGAGGCAAAGAACCCTTGAAGACATTGATGAACTGTTCTTGACTTTAAACAGGCTGAAACTTGGTCTTTTGGGGCAGGATCTCGCAGAAAGGTTTGGTTTGAAGCAAAATGTGGTGTCTCAGATAGTTTGTACCTGGATTGATAGATTGGATTATTGTCTTTGTCAGCTAAACTTAACAACTAGTCATCAGAATATGGAGAAGCACTTACCATCTTGTTTTAAGGGAGAGTACAAGGACACATATTTGATAATAGACTGCACAGAAATCTTTATTGAAAAACCATCTCAAGTTATACAACAAAGTGCGACATGGTCAGAATACAAAAGCCACAACACTGGGAAGGGCCTTATTGGCATTTCACCCACTCTGTTGCCTGTATTTGCATGTGACATTTATCCAGGAAGTATTTCAGATGAGGAGATTGTAAAACAAAGTGGTATATTAAAGCTTGCTCACCATGGCGACAGGTGGTTAAAAGGGATAATCCCTATCCGTTATGAACATCTTTCGTCCAAAATGTGGAAGGTGTGTTGCAGACTAACTGCATTTCTTCCACCTCTTGTTTGTAATGAACAATTCCAGAGAGAGGAATGACAATATTTACACTGTACATTTACACACTACAAAGCTGTGAGTAAAATATACATGCTTGAGACCCATTACATCCTCTCCCAGCATCACTTCATGATTCACAATAGTTAATTTTCTAATGCTCCAGGAGCTGGTTGTTGGCAGGTGGATAGTCTTGGTGATTTTATAAAACCTTCCAAGAATTTTCCATTCACAAATATATATAAAATAAGGTGGGTAGGTGTAGGTGAGAGGCTGGTTTTAAGGGAAACAATGAGGCGTTGTGCATAGCATGTATAGGTTCTTATATTTATTACCCATCACTATTTAGTACCAGAAACTGTTCACCATTCAGACAACCAATTCCAGATATAAGTTGAGAATGATGTAAATAAATAGAGTTAATAATTATTCGGATGTAATGTTAACATATCACAATGATGTAAACAATTATGTAAGTAAAGCAACTGCACCTGTTGAATATTTGTAATATGTAAAATATTGTACACTAAATTAATATAATTAAATAATTTATTGAATTGTAATAAAAAATAATAGCATAATATATTTCAGTATAGTTACAGTATAAAACAAGTACATATATATGTTTTTGAATGTAAATAATTTAAGTGAAGAAATTAAATTATCAATCTAATTTTTATTAAAGGTTATTTCCCTTGATAATTTAGCAATTTCGTTAGCCCATTGTCTGAGAGGTAATAATTTCTTAAAAGTTGGAATTTGTCCAGTTAAACAGGTATGTATTTCTTTAGCATATTTATTTTCATCAACTAACACTATATTATACTGTTCATCTTTAATGATGGCATTGCATACATTAGTGAAACAGGTTATAAACTGTTTGTTCTTCTTGATCAGAAAGTATTTAGCTTTCTTAGTTTCAGGAACATAGGACTGTAAGATGCAACTTTCAGCTTCTGCACATTCCAACTGCAGCTGGACTTGTGTGACATGTGCACCGGTCACAGCTGTTAATGGTTCCAAATTTCCTGCTGCTCGAGTTTTGATTTCAAGTAAACATAATCCTTCCATACAATCATTATAGGCATCTCCAGTTACTAGGGATGAGCCGATAAGGAAAATTGCCGATTACTGAGGCCGATTATTTATGAGCCGATTATTGGAACTAATTGGCCGATTAATCGGTGGCTGCCGATTATTTAAAAATTAAAAGGAAAAGTAACAGATGAATAACCATTAAGTTGTAAATGCGCCAAATGCGGTTTTAATGTTTACAATATACACTATTTACAATGAAAATCGGCTTCATTCTCGCATGTCAATATTCAAAGTTGAGTTTTGGTAGATTATGATGTAAAAAGAGGATATTGTCAGCTTTATGTGGAGCTAGTCTACTGCGGTTTTCAGTTGAAATGTTCCCAGCCTCACTGAATACACGCTCGGAATAAACACTTGAACTTGGTGGACTTAGATACTTCAGCGCGATGCTGAAAATATTCGGATAGGCTTTCTTGTTGGAGACCCACCAGGTATAGGGACACGCTTGTAACGGTTGCTATGGAAGACTGAGAAATGCGTTGACCTCTTCTTCAAGACTTGTAACGCACTCGTCAGATGCAACTATCTCATCAAAACACGACCACAGTGCTTGATGCGGCCCATCACTGCGGCTTACCGACTCTTTCTCCTTTGGGCTTGACGTAACGGACTCTGAGGAATCTTGGCCAGAATTGAGCTCATCAATCAGCGTAGAACGACCATCATCTTTACAAAACTTTGTTTTGAATCTTGGATCAATAGTCGTAGCCAACACGAAATTCTTGTTGGAAAAGGTTGATTGGAATCTTCTTTCCAAGGCACTGCTCAGCTCATCGCGCATTGTGCGTACTCCAGCTGTCTTCTCGCCGTCATCTCTGCTTAAAAATTTCTTCAACACTGTAATGGCGGGAATCACTTCGGATATGCACGAATTGTTGTTGCTCATCAGCTTAGTGTATTCCTCGAGCGGTTGAAGCAAGCGAAGGACCTTCTCCATCAACGACCACTCGTTGGGCGAAAGAGTTGTGGTTGGTGTTTCAGCAGAGTAGAGTGTGACAGCCCTCTTATTCTCCAACAGCCTGTCCAACATGTAGTAAGTGGAATTCCATCTGCAAAACGAAAAAAAACATCCATATTGATATTGGTGGTTAATAAATAAAACAAACACTATCGTTTTAAAACATGCAAAACATTTGTCAAGTTTCAAGGTTGTAACATAGGCGGCCCAAAATTAGCGGCCGAAAAATTTTTCGGCAATTTGTCAATGTAATGTATAATATATAATTACATAAGGTAGGAAGCTCTTTTTTACGTTACGAAACTTACCACTTAGACTATGACAAAATACATCAATTATATTGACCGAAACTAATAAAAATATATAGTAAACTAATCTCTGATAATTTTCCTCGCTTCTTACATGCGATTTACGATTTAAAACTACTTTTAACATGACAAAATACGGCAATATTTTTATAGTTTTTGATCAAAAATATTTCGTACGATGCGGGATGACAGTTGTCTCTGTATTCGTCATTGCTTTGAAATATTTTACATGATCCTATTGGTTGAAAAAAGTTCGTTCAAATACTTTACAGTTTGTTTCTTTTTTCAACCAATAGGATCATGTAAAATATTTCAAAACAGTGACGAATACAGAGACCACTGTCATCCCGCATCGTACGAAATATTTTTGATCAAAAACTATAAAAATATTGCCGTATTTTGTCATGTTAAAAGTAGTTTTAAATCGTAAATCGCATGTAAGAAGCGAGGAAAATTATCAGAGATTAGTTTACTATATATTTTTATTAGTTTCGGTCAATATAATTGATGTATTTTGTCATAGTCTAAGTGGTAAGTTTCGTAACGTAAAAAAGAGCTTCCTACCTTATGTAATTATATATTATACATTACATAGTCAAAAAAGTTTTCGCCGCCAATTTTGGGCCGCCTATGGTTGTAACGCACACGGCAATAACTTATAATTTAACTCACCTTGTCGCCACATCCTGAATCAACTTTTTCTTTGGAAGACCCAGATCACTTTGGAGTTCTGCTAGCCTGCTACTTCCGAGCGAGTGACGAAAGTGTGTGACCATTCGTTTCGCCTTGGCAATCATGTCGCTGACACTTCTTTGGGAAAAGATGGCATCGCTGATCGCTAACTGCAGTGTGTGAATGAAGCATGGGCTGCCCGTCAAACCGGCCAACTGTACGGCATTTGTCATGTTGCTCGCATTGTCAGTAACAACGATGTGACATCTTGAACTGTCGATAGTCCACTTTGACAACATGCTTGTAAACTTTTCAGCGATTCGCGGCCCGGTGTGGCTTCCGGGGAAGAAACTTGATTGTAGTACGATTGACTGCTGCGGGAACTTTGTTTCATTTTCATCAATCCAGTGGGCTGTCAGGCTAATGAACGCATCGTTGTTGTGGGAACATGTCCAAATGTCTGAAGTAAAGGAGAAATGTTTTGCCTTTTCCAACATTTTGGCAACAGCTGCTTCGGGTCGTTTCACTAAATTGGGAATTACAGCATCACTAAAGTGGTGTCGACTCGGTAAATGATAACGCGGGGCTACATGTTTCATCAGACGCATAAAACCCAGATCTTCGGCAATTAGGAATGGTTGGTTGTCAAGAACTATCATTTCACCGATTAGTTTGGTAATATGCTGGGCTTGACGACTGTTCATATCCCAAGTTCGACCGGCTTCAACACTTTGTTCTAATGACATCTGCGTTTTTAGTTTCTTTCTCATCGTCACCGTGCTTGAGTTCGTGTCTTGTAGTGTTCTTTTATCTTTTTCAATATTCTTTTCCTTTTCATCTGATGAAAGTGCAAGAAATTCCGTCGGATGCTTGCGGAGGTGATTGCGCATGTTTGTCGTGGTGAACTGCTTGCATGTTTTTCCTCCTCTGCTGATTATAACTCGAGAGCCTTTTTCCTGACAAACTTTACACATAGCTTTCGTGTTGTCATCTTCCAAAATGTCAAAATATGTCCAAACTGCACTTTTTACCGCGTGCGCCATTAGCTTCTGCGAAAATTTCTCGTGATACTGCTAGAAAATTATTTCCTCTGCATTTTATAACAAACATCCTGATTTATTTTAGCCAATCAGAAAACACATTATAGTATGACTCATTGCATAGGAATGCGTTGCTGAGGCATCGGAATGCGTCGCTGAGGCATCGGAATGCGTCGGTGGCTTAATTGTTTTTAATGACTTCCTCAAACACAGATGAGACAAAAGACGTGGGTTTTTTCACTTTTTTGACGCCCGCAACGTGAAAAATTGAAAATCTATTCACTTTCATTCAGTTATTTTATCATTTTCTTGGCAGAAACAGAAAAAGTCTTATTGCCGATTATCAGGCAATAATCGGCCGATTACCGATTATTTTAAAAAAGGCCGATTAATCGGCTTTGCCGATTATTTACCGATTAATCGGCTCATCCCTACCAGTTACAGTGTCAGATACTTCACAGATATCCTCATTTACTACAAATGTTCTGTCTGGAGAAGCCCCATAATTATCATCAGTCTTTCTACTTATAAATCCACATTCATTTACTAAAATTCCTGAACATTTGGTAAAGCAGTGTGCAGCTTCAGATTCATACTGGTGGCCTCTCTTGAAATTAGGGAAGTTTTTAAGTGGTTCTGGTAGATTATTTTTTATGCAGTTCCATGTTACACCAAATTCCTTTGATCCATACAGCCCTATGACTGCTGGTGCTTTACAGCCAGTGACTTTTCCTATTCTTTGTTGAAACCACTCAGAACTTCCTTGAGCAGCTCTGGTCTCTGAATGATTTTCAGCTACTCTCACTTGATCTTCCAGAAATTTGTTGGACTGAACATTATCCCCCAGAACATCAACTAGAATATTAGAGCATTTTGAAGACTTCAAAGATTTACAAAAGTTTTCCACATCCTCTCTATCAATAGGTGGCTCTCCAACTGGCTTTGATTGGTAACTGTGAAATATCTCACTAGGAAGCCTTCGTTTTCTTCCCCCATTGACATCTCTCTTGGAAATATGTTTTTCAAATACTATATCTTGTAACAGCCTTCTCTTCATCACTTCTTTTTCAGGGTCCTGGGCTGCTTTTAGCGAAGGAACACCCCACTTTTGTCTTGTTTCAGTGCAGCTAATTGGTTTTGGCAACTCTTTACCACCAGCTATGATAACATCTACAAGTTTATACGCCAGTGCAGCAATGTGTTTATAAAACCCACGGCTCCCAGCAGGACAAGATAGGTCTTTAGCAGCCAAAATCTTGCCAGTTTTAGAGTCAAACACTATTCTGCATTTGTACAAATTTTCTCCTTGGGAAATATTTTTAGCCTGCTTCATAGACGGCCTGGTATAACCTTCCAGCAAAAATTTTTGTTCATGACTTAATAAATTATTAATTTGTATTCTTTTACCACTGGTTTCAAACTTTTTAGTTTTTGAGAAAGCATAACCCTCTGTAACATGTCTTTTATCACCTGCTAATTTGAAATATTCTTCAACTGTCGAATGTGTTATACGAGGAATGTTTTCGACTGAAGTGGTCCAGTTATCTTCTATACTGCTGTTTAAAATCACTTCCAGTTCAAATTGTTTTGGATCAAGGAGAACAACTCGTTTCCTTTCGTAATTTTTCCCATTATCTGGGTCTTTCAAAAGCATTGTATTCCAACCATTGGCAATGTACAAACTTACTCTGAAATAGAACATTTCCGCATGAAATTTGGGCTAAACAAATTTAAAATTAATCCGCATTTGTTCATATTTTCAAAAATATTCAAAACATTTACAAGGTCTTTACTTGTCTTTTAATTGTTGTAGCGTCAGTTCGTTCAATTTCCTACAACCCCTGCATTTCAACCATCTTATTGCTTCAGATTTTGTGATATCCGTGACATTTTTGGTAAGCTTAGCTCCAGGAATATCTTCTTCGGTCAACTTCACACTACTGTTCGCCATGTTTATTTATGTTTCGCGCTAATTCCATGAGCTAATTATAAATTCAATTTGTCGATTTTACCAAAATGCAACGCGCGGCGCCATCTTTTTTATTACGGTGGATTGAAAACCTGTTGCTACCACATATGGGCATGTCTTTAAACAACTATTTTCAGTCTAATGGAATGCACCAAGAAAGGGTGTAGGGTACAGACATTGAAATATTTGCTGCCTCCTCCTTGCTTAGTACAGACATTTACATATACACTAATGTTTGTGCTCATTATACATGGAATAAGTTTTACATTTACATTCAACATACTAATGGTGTACATTATGATGTTGTTCTGGACGTAACCAGTACCAATGATTCACTGTTTATATGCAAAAACATTGATAATTTTCATAACATGAGTATAACAAAAAAAACTCTGGGAAGACAATTGCTTAAAAGAAAGCAATATTAATATGATTCTACATTTACTGTAAAAGACACACCCTACACATTATCAAAGCAAAATAAAGTAGTTACAAGAAGTGAGTTACCAATGCCAACTTTAAATGAGGATAGAATAAATGGCAATAGTATTGATTCACAATTAAGTTTCAAGGAACAAAGTTTAAGAGGTCAATATTAAAAAAAAAGCATTCTTCTGATTCCTGTACAGTTACATGCAATCATTTATGTAATAAGTCAAAGCCAAATCAATTAAATAGTAGTAAAGAAGAAAATCCAACATGTCAAAGCAGCAAAAGTCCTAAACAAGGTAAAAGTGCAAAGCAACACAAAGAGATAGGCACATATTCCACTGAAAATTTCGAGTCCAATGTCAACAAGTTTCATCAGTCAATGCAATACTTTGTTCAGTGTAGTGTGTGTCATGAGGCCTGGCCTTTGACAACCAAGCCAAAATCTTGCAATTCCAATAATTACATTTGTCGTAGGTGTAAGATTGATAAAAAAATTCCCCTAAAGTTTTCTTCTGCGAATAGTATGATTCCTTCTGTATTGCCAAGTGAACTGAAAGACTTAACTCAAACTGAAGAAATGCTAATTGCTAGAGCACTTCCTATTACGAGGGTTTATGTAAAGCCTGGTGGTCAAAAGGGTATTTTGGTCATTGCATAAATTTGCTCCAAAATGTTTCACAGCTAGCCCAATCACTCCCACAATGTCCAAGTAAAATTACAATTATTATTGTCACAATGAAAGGAAAAGATAACACCATGAAAGATGTTATAGTCAGAAAAAAAAAGTTGAGCAGGCCTTGTATTGGTTAATAAGACACAATCCGCAGTATAGTAATGTGCATTTTGATTCAGATACATTAGAAACTTTACCTGAAAATGGCATTCCTTCCAATATCCAGACAATGGAAACATACCCAGATACTGTACCCAGATACTGTTGATAGTTTTCATACTGACCCAATTGCAAGTGAAGATAAAGTTTATAATTGTGAAACAGATACAAATAGCTTCCTTCTGCAACCTAAAAATGACCACCTTGAAAGCAATGCAATAAAAACTTGTCTCAATGCCCCCCTGATTGATTGGCCAACTATTGAAAATAAACTGCTTAATGAGTATACAAGACCATTTCTTGCAACTCTTGCATTTTCAACACTTTTTCCTGATGGTAATGGTGATCCAACAAATCCATGTTTGCAAAGGGACATCCCTTTTGCCAGTCGTATTCAGCATCTAATTAAATATTCTGAAAAAATCAATGATAAATGGATATATAGATTTGCTTCTCTGCCCAGGTTCTCATATTGGGCTCTTAACACGATTCAAAGAAAACGAGCTCTTCAACAAAATGCCATATTTTTAAAACAAAATCCTGATGAGTCACATCTTACAATAGATGAGTTGCGTGAAATGGCTTACAGTAATAATTCATCACCTTTCATTTGCAAACTTTCTAGATAAGTAGCAAATATTACTGGAAGCTCAGCATATTGGTTTAAAATAAGAAGATTTGAAAGCAATCATTGTAGCAAAAGGTCCCCCTACATTTTTTTTTCATTTTCTTCTGCAGACCTTCATTGGCCTGAGTTGCATTCTCTTTTTTCTTCGAATGTTGATAACTTGAGTATTGAAGATAAACGAAAAAATGTTTTTGAAAATCCCCACATAGTAAATTGGTTTTTTACCAAAAAATTAGAATCATTTCTAAAGCACTGGCTATATGACAACATTAAATGCAGAGTGGCATTGGTACCTATATAAATTTCAAGCTTGAGGTAGTATCCATTGCAATGGTTCTGCAAAATTGAAGTCTGATCCAGGTCTTTGTAGACTAACAGAAATTGCACTTAAAGGTTTCATTGCAGAAAAACAGCAAAAAAGTTCAGATAACTTTCCTGCTTCAGTTGAAATCACTGAGGGACAAAAAGCTGTGAAGGTTGTTTGCAATTACGTAGATACTCTCATCAATACATGGAATCCATCTCCACCTGATGGGATATTGGATTCATTATTGGATAAATATGCAAAACATTCAATTTTTCACAACGAGTCTCCACATATAATGAAAATGAGTTTTGTTTAATTTGTCACAATGTACAAGACTGTAAAAAATAAACATGTGAAACAATCACCAAATGCGATTCCACATTTCTTCCCTTGTTACTCTTCAAATCCAAAAGGGATCAATTATCCACTATACTGTAAATACCAGCTTTTGAAGTACAAACCTTGCAAAAATTCTCAAAATGATGCATGGGTATGGTGGCCCATCGCTGCCACTCAAATTTTAATCAGTTTTTTTTTTCTGACAAGAATAAAAAGTGTTTTAAAGTAAAATCGAAACACATTTCCAGTAAAAAATTCAAGTTAAAAATAACAATTATCATTTCATTTACAAACATAAATGAAAATTAAAAAAGAAATAAAGTTAAAAACAAAATAAAACACAAATTAAAGTAAAAGTAAAATTCTTCAAAGCCTATCGCTGCCACAGTGTTTCCACTATAGGTTACCCAAAATTGTGTTCATCTGTTATAATATGCATTACATGAAGTAGCTCAAACAACCACAATTAAAAACATTAAGTGATCTCTCATGAACC